ATTTCATTTTTTTGCCCTAAGTGCAGTACCTTACATTCTTCTTTGTTATAAAATATATCCTTGTTATAGGATATATTACTTTTACCATTACCTAACTTCTTTCTTTTTTCCTGTTTATACCCAGTTAGGTACAATACCCTTTTTTGTTGTTGACGGTGGTTCACAAAAACCAAATGGGATGGAGAATACATGGCAGTAGTACATCAGAAAAGAACTTTGGGATTATTGTTGTTCATTAATTAAACATGAGCCAGCAATGTGATGCTGCAGCAAAAAGGTGAATGCTATTTTGTTGTTGATGTGTGCCTTCAAGTCATTTCTGACTTAGAGTGGCCCTATGATGGGGTTTTCTGGGGCTGAGAATGTATGACTCGCCCAAGATTATGGCTCAGCAGGGAATCAAACCCTGACCCCCAGAGTTGTAGTCCATTGCTCAAAACATTAGACCATAGAACCACACCATTCATTATAGCCTCTGTCACCCAAAATAGATCTTGCAGCTCCCCATAATTCTGTATGGAACAGGAAAGGAAAGTTAGTACTCTTCTGAGACAGGGGTGGGCAAAGTGCCCTCTCCAGGATCTGCAATATGAAAAAAAATAACCTTTAAAAATCCACCATAAAAACTGCAAGTTGTATCTCATGAGTTCTCAAGCCATTTAAAAAGCTGCTTTTGGAACATTTCTGGTTCTTAAAAAAAAAAGACTGTTTGGGATATAAAACAGGCTTAGGGGCAAAACAGACTTTAAAAGGCTGAATGTACTCCCTCCTCTATGCTTGAAGCCTCTGGGTGTATGACTGGGCAATATTATAGAGGAGGGATTTTGAAAAATGGAAAGGTGCTGCCTACTGGGTTGCCTGCCTAAGGGATTGCTTAGTTATTTTTCAGCACTGGCTGTTTTTAAGTGCTTATTTCAAGCTGGTTACAATGACAGGAAAAAGAAAACCTACCATCAAATGAAGTGATCAGTAAAATCACAACAAAATTACTTTTAAAATGTGAGACACATAGTAAAAAAACAACAACAAAAAAACCCCAAGCAATACACCTAAGAATTTCTCCAAACCAAATTTAAAGGATTGCAGAGTTTATTTTATGAGGACAACCCAATTCATCAAAAGTAGACGCTGTTGTCAAGAATGACAGTGACTAATGCTTGAATGGATAGATAGACAGACACAGGGTTAAGGGTGAGATTACAATGAGGTCAGAGGAAAATAAATGCAGAAAGTACTGACAATAAGAATTAGATTATTAACATTGGTCATACCCGAAACTGCTGCTGTGTTACCCCAAAGTCTAGCCTCTTTTCACCCTTCTTTTTTTCTGATATCAATTTGATACTAAAATGGATGCTTAAGATAGATAGCCATGAGGGCACCCCAGCATAGGGAAAATAGCCTCACCATCTGCTTAATCCCTTCACTGATAAGGGTGATGGTGGGTGATAGACCTTGTGTTTACAAGTGAACACAAATCCAAGAGTACTTCCCTCTGGGAATGATACTACTTTGTCCAAGGACATTTGCACTGGTTGTCCAGCCATTCACAACTTCCCTTCCCATTCTTGTCTCCTGGAAGTTAACTCTTAATCCCAAATTCTGCCCCAGGACAGGTTTTGCCTTATAAATGTACCTGCTTAGGCACCAAAAATTTGGTCTCACTTGAGGTCTGACAATCACTCTATCTGTATCTTACTTGACTCCTTACCATTGCTGGCCACTCCAAGATCCTCAAGCAGGTTGCTGTCCCACTTATCTTCGCAGTATCCTCCAACCGGAGCCCCACATCTGGAATTGGTACAGTATTGCCCTCTTCAACCCCTTAAGTTGCTATCTGCTACCACCTTTCATTTAGTTAGTTCTCAAATGGGTGTGTGAGTGAATGTCTTTGTGAGAATGGTGATTCCCTTTGATTCATAGATAAAACTATTTTTGAAATTTGCACTCTGTTTCTTGTAACTGATATACACAGGCTTGATTTGCACTCTGTTTCTTGTAACTGATATACACAGGCTTGATCCTCACTTTGAGTTGCCCAAGCTCTCTCAGCTGATTTTAACTGAGCTAATAAAATCCCCCTATTGAGTAATAATTGTGGGTGCTCTCCCAGGACCCTGGCATTTTGGCTAACAGCTGATAATACACAAACATCCTGGCCCTAGATAAGTAACATATTGGCTAGTATCCTGTTAGCAACATACACAGACACAATGCATTTGGAGTGGTTACTTTGAGATCATGCAACAGTCATATGCAGCTAATGGTAACAGAAGTGGAGTTACACAAGCAGATGTACAAATGGGTACATTGTGCAATAGGACCCATTCATGAGTATGGTTGTGCCATGAAGCTATTCCTGCCAGGAAGAAGAAGGAAAGCAGTTTCTGGGCAGCCATTTTGAGTGGATTTCTCAATATGGACACTGAGAGAGCTGCTGTAATCACCTGCAACACTTGAACATCTAGAAAACATTGTTGATATCCTTGTTATAGAATATATTACGGTAAATCATTGATAAAAATATTGTAGAGTAATGGCCACAGGGCAGAATCCAGAGGCACTCCACTCAAGATCTCCTTTCAGTTTGAAGTGCAGCCATTAATGATGACTCTTAGAGCATGGTTTTCCAACCACTGTGGATCAATCTGACAGTGTTTCTGTCTATTCCATATTTAATCATTTTGCTAAGCAGAATATCATGAGGGATGTTTCAAATATTTTGCTGCAATCCAGATAAATGACATCCACAACATTCCCACCATCTAGTAAAGTAACCTGATTTAAAAAGATGTAAATTAGTTTGGCAGGATTTGTTGTCAACAAACCCATGCTGGCTCCTCCTGATCAATGAATGTATTGTCATTAAGATAATTGCCGACAGAGTCTTGTATAAGCCAATCTAGTATTTTTCCTGGTATTGAGATCAGAATGACTGGTCTGTAGTTTCCTGGATCTTCTTTTTTGGTGAGAGGAACATTACCTGTTTTCCAAGATTTCTAAAAATGACAGCAAGTGGTTCAGAGAAAGTTCCTTCAGTACTTTAGGATGCAGTTTGTTTGGCCCTGCAGATTTCAAGTCATTTTATTTAGTTAGGTGATTCCAGATCCTTTGCCAAGGTTTTTGTTGCCGTACACAGTTCTCTTTTTGGAGAAACTGAAGCAAAATAGATATTGAGCAGTTCTGCCTTTTTATTGTGATCAGTTAGCATTTTGCCCATGAAAGAAGCAATAGTAAGCCCCATTACCTTACCATCTGCAATAAAGAGTTGTGCAGTAGGGGTTGTTCAGACTAGTGGGATTTATGCTTTAGAAAATAGGCTCAACAGCCTAATCTAAATGCAAAACATTGTCAGGGTGTGGCCAAGTTTTGAATTAAGGAGAAAGCACTTAATGTAATGCAGAAATTGTTTTCAGTATCAAAACTGAGCTCCCTGTTTTTTTCACAACCATCTCCACTGTTATTTCTTGTCAGCTTCCTTTATATCAATTGCTTAATTGGGTTGAAGGGATCTGAGGCCTTTCTGTTGTTACTATGGTTAAGTAAATCACTGACTTCTGCCAGTCCACCCATGCTGTTCATAATGCAGAGCTGGTTTTTGCAGAGTTGAAGAACATAAGCTTTCTGGTGCTCAGAATGCGTCCCTCAGTTCCTCGGTGCCTGCAAATTGTGAGGTAAGTCTGTTGAATTTATCGAGCAAATGTGCTTCTGCCCAGCATCCAAGCAATACTACTGCTTGTTTCTGCAGTCTGTTCCCCATCACTCCCTGACAACTCCAGAATATACACCCTACTAACTAACAGAATTAATGAAAGAGATAGTTATTGAGGGGGAAGATTATAGGAGGGGAACAACAATAGGGAACCTATTTATCAAAAAAGATCAATGTTTCCAAAATAGAAAGCACTGCAAAAACCTGCAGTGAAAGTGTGTAGATGGAGTATGAAAGCTCACAATTTCTCTAGAGAGAAAGGCTGGGGTTTAAGATTGGCCTGACATCCCAGCCTCTGAGCCTACTACTTGATGAGTGAAGGACATTCTGCAAAAATTCAGAAGCAGCTTTCTCTTCCTTGCCTCACATGTCTTGGGGGTCAGCTGTGGCCCAAAATAAAAATTCTGATCTATAAATTCAACCACACTGAAGGCAAACAAATGTTGTTCCTTTTAGGGGCTCCCTGTTCCAAGATGAAGGGCACCCTTCACAAATAAAGGATAATTTAGAAATACGTTAAATAACTACAATAGTTTTATTCATTTAATTAAAATATTTTATATACTGTATATACTCATGTACACGTCTAAAAATGTTAGTAAAAAAATTGACCCCCAATATTGGGTCAACATATCCATGGGACAATGTAAGTACTGTACTTTAAATCATATTGAAAATGGTACCACCCCATTCTCTGAGTAGAGAGGCAAAAGCTGAGAGGTTTGGGGCCTTTGCAGACTGCTGGAAATAGGACGTTATCACACGTGGGCCAGTTTTGTCGTTAAAGAGATAATAAAGTGGAAATGAAGCATCCCGAAAAGAAAGCGA